AGGCAAAATTTCACAAAAAGCAAAACCCATGATTTAAAAAAAAAAAAAAGCTAAATGCTAGATCTGACCCTTTATTTGCCTTATGTGCCTCACCTGGACCTGGATCTGACTTTGTAAAGAAAAAAAAATAGCTGAATAAAGAAAAAATTTTCTCCAAAGAAAAATAAGCATTTCGATCCATACATAAGGGACGAGAGGAAGTACTCTCAGCAAAGAGGTATTTAGGTACACACTAGTGAACTAGTCGCTGCCCTTGCTTTGACAGACTGAAGAGAATTGCCGCTCAGTTCCCTTCGCTGCAGGAAACGAAGAATGTGGCAGGCGAGAGCCACCAGGCGGCGCCACCACAACCTCTACACGTCATTGGAGTTGGGTGATGGGCCACTGCCAGCCTCCCCAGGTGAAAAGGATGTCCTTTTCTCCAGTCCCACTAAATGATTTTTGCGCACCGTGACTGAAATTAGTCTTCCTTGATACAGTGGCGTTAACAATCTTAAAAGGTTTAATCTCTGTGTCTGCATGAAGTCGCTGAACAACACAAGGGAAGTTAACTAACCTTTTCCTTAACTACTAAAACTGCCTTAAAAGACCGTGGTGAGGACTAACCAGTTCACATGACAGGGCAGGAGCAGAGCCTTGGTTTACCGCAGCACTGTGAAAGCTCGTGCCTTCTCCAGCGGCCCTTCGCGCCGCCCCACCTGCCTAAGCGCTACTCTGTGGAGCGGAGAGGAGAAACAGAGGAGACTTGGGATCTCCTACCTTCTGCTGGGAACTTTCAGGCGATGTATCTTGGATCCTGGCCCGGGAACGTGCAGACCGGGTGACCACCATTTTCCCGGCTCCCCGGCATCCACCGCGGCTTCCCTCCGCCCTGCGGCCCGGAAACGCGTCAGAGAAGTGCCTCATTTGTTTTCCCAGATGATCCCGGAACTCGCGAGATCTCTTACTTGGCCTTTGCCCCGGGCTCTGGCCGGGCTTTGGCCGGGTTCTGGCCATGTTGGGATTTCCAAGCTCGGGTTTTAGTGTTCTCTTTACGCCCCTGGAAGACAGATCAGCCTTTTGCTGGCCGACTCCCCGAGGACGCGACATCTGCAATGACAAGAGGGCCTTTGTCTCCCTTTTTACAGGAACGAGTTGGAAGATCGCATCATTTACCTAATTTTCCATTCGTTCAGTAATTACAAAGGTCTTGATGTCGCCAAGAGTGTGGCCAAAGGAAGATGTTTGCCTTATTTGTACTTTTTTTTCAGTAATGTACTTATGTGTTGTGATGTTAATTATAAATAAAGACATGGCTGGGACGAGGATATCCCAGAAACTGGGAGACTAGTTAGGAAGCTATATAAAAAGTGATGTGGTGCTTCAGGATTGGGAATAAGCAGAAAAGAATATGAAAGAAATTGTAAAGGAGAGGGATAAAAGTTTTTGTTTGTCTTTCTTTTAATATTAAGGGTAGAGAACTAGAATTATGTTAGAGATGGTACAAAGGGATTGAGGAAGTAAACGGGAGTTATTGTTGTAGGGGAGAAAAAATGCTTTATTAAAATCTATTCTCCGTGGTCCACTTCTTTATAATAGAAAACCACGGTTTCCTTAAAAGTCACAGCACACACATTTCAGTGAATAATACATTGCCTCCCAGCTAAATTGCTCCCTTTCAGCCTCCCTTGAAGACAAGTATGCTAACCGAGTTTTGGTCAATATAAATTAAATATCTAGTTCTTTAGGGTCAGTTTTAGAGGAGAACCTTCCTGACTTCTTAAATACTTTTTTTTTTTTTTTTTAAATTTCTGCAGAGTTGTGTTCACTAGTTTTTATCTAGCAGCAATTCCGTGCCCCGAGGACACAGCAGGGCTTCAGAGTTACTCCAAGAGTGAAAATGAAAAATCATGAGTTCCTGACAATTTGAGCCACCACATCAGCTCTCTCAACAGCTCTGGATTTCTTTCACGTGAAACAATTTGTCAATGTTCTGATTAATTTTTTATTGGAAGGCTTTGCAGCCAGTTTTAATTTTCTTCTTTCCTATAATTCCATACACATAAAATGAAATTTCCAAGGAAATCCATATTTTCACCAGCAAGAGTATATATCCTGGGGCTGGGATTGTGGCTCAGTGGTAGGGTGCTTGCTTTAACGTGTGAGGCACTGGGTTCCATTCTCAGCACTGCATATAGATAAACAAAAAAAGTCCACTGACAACTAAAAGAAAATTTTTAAAAAGAGTACATATCCTGGAATTTAATGGAATACTGTCTTCAAGATGCTAAGGAAAAATATCTGGGAATTTAGAATTTTACAATGTCAAATGACTACTGATGATTGAGTAAAAATAAAGACGTTTTCAGACAAACAGGACCTACAGAGTTTACTGCCCAAAGACCTTTGGTGAAAGAATTGCCAAGAACATTTTTAAAAAGTGAACTTGGAGGAATAGAATACAAGAATCAACAGTGAGCAAAGAAATGGGGAGAAGAGCTGAATCATAAGCTATACTTATCATAAAACCATCTTAATATCAATCAACAGACACACCAAAATCATCTGTCACTTTACACATTTAGTTATTGCTAAGGAACCACTTTTGGGGCAGTGCAACTATATACAGTCATATTCTGATGTATTTAGGGGAGTTGGGCAACTTTTAGTCTCTAATCAAATATGACCTTCCCAACATTACCTACTCTTGTCCCAACAGGAGCAGTTCCCTTTCTGGTAATAAGCTTTTGAAGGTGTTCTCATTGAATTTGTGTTTACATATAAACTGCTTCATTATTCAGTAGAAGTATATTTAAAAACTAGGCAAACAGAGGCCTCTGCCCACAATGTCCACATCACACTATCTCCTCTGACCTACTCTAAAGCTAAGTTCTTTTTTTTTTTTTTAAAGAGAGAGTGAGAGAGAGAATTTTTTAATATTTATTTTTCAGTATTTGGCGGACACAACATCTTTGTTTGTATGTGGTGCTGAGGATCGAACCCGGGCCGCACGCATGCCAGGCGAGCGCGCCACCGCTTGAGCCACATCCCAGCCCCTAAAGCTAAGTTCTTTAGGAACATATTTCTGTACCTTATTTTGCAACCTAGCCTCACTTCATTCCACATGTCCCCCAATCCTTTTCACCACTTCTGTCATTAATCAATGCAGCCTTTTATTGCTTTTATTTATATACAGATCTCCTCCACTTGCGGGCGAATATACTGTATATACTCCTGGAAGAAAAAGGGTTGTCTTGGGGCTGGGGTTGTGGCTCAGTGGTACAGTGCTTGCCTCACATGTGTGTAGCACTGGGTTCAATTCTCAGCACCGCATATAAATAAATGAATAAAATAAAGGTCTGCCAACACTAAAAAATATTTTTAAAAAAGGGGTGTTCTTTTCATCTGTGTCTACCTGTAGCACCTTGCACAGTGCTTAGCACATAGAAGGCACTCAACAATCTATTGAATGAATGAAGCATGAATAGCTTTATATGACTTAGATATTAAAAATTACTCAATTTATTTTCAAATCATACTCAATTTAAATCCAAATAGTTCAAAATCAGTATACTGCCCCAAGATGCTCCAACTATTGAAACAACTCAATTTAAAAATATACAACTCACATTTTATTTTAGTTAAATTCATAATATAGGCAAAAGTAAAAATTATTATAAATATTTAGCTAACAGTGCTTTATATCTTGCTTTTATAGTACACTACAACAGACACATAAGAAAAAGAATTATCTAATTAAAACATTTTCCTAAGTATATCTCTAAAACCATAAAAATATTAATGTAAATCATGTTACATATATTTTAAAAATTAAACTGACATATCCCATCACCAAGTTTATGGGGAAAAGACAGGTACATGTGTTGGTACATTTGAAAGTTAACGATGAAAAAATAGGTTCAGAATCATAAGTTGATGTATTTGAGTATGCATACACAAAGAACACAAATGGTTTAAATTATTAAAATAGCTGCACATTTCTCAAAATGCACATTTGGCAGCAAGATGAACTGTTCACCAATATACAATACATATATCAGGTGCTTACATCCCCAAAGATTGAAGATACTGGGTGGAAAACCTAGAAAGAAAATGTTATAGAAAGAAAAAATGGGTCTTAGACCTATTATTACTGAAAACTGATACCCTTAGTTACTACTTACTAGTTCTGGTATAGAAAAGTTTGAATCATTCATGCAAAGTAGATAATAACTTTTTATTTTCCATTTTACACACAGTTGTCTAAGTCATTTTTGAGAACTGAAAAATTATTAGCTATTATTTATGATTCAAGTTTTAGCACTGACCATCCGTAAATGAATATTAATGTACTAGCACAATGTGGTTTTCAGAATTTATACCACATAAACAGATTTTATAAGACACTTAGGTCCTTCTGGTGTTTATGATTTCTTGGATGGGAATTTAATGTAGTATTATGGAGCAAATTCCAAGTTACAGTACATTATGTTAATTCAAGGCTCCAGGGTATTTTGGAAATGTAATAACAAGCTACAGTTTCTTTTGTACTTACTGGGAAAAAAACATATAAACTCTTTCTACCTTGGGTCACACGATTCACATCTCCCCTGAAAACATATCTGTTATGTACACTATTCCTAACTTAGCTTTCGGTTTTAAGCAGTTATTTGGTAGTATCACCACTTTTCATTTTATGGCTTTTAAAAGAGTAAAAATCTCTTTTAAAAAGGCACAGTGGCATGTGCCTGTATTCTCAGGGATTTGGGAAGCTGAGGCAGGAGGATTTTAAGTTTGAGGCCAGCCTCATCAACTTAGCAAGACCCTGTCTCAAAAAATAAAAAGGGGTGGGATATAGCTCAGGGTTTTTTTTGTTTGTTTGTTTTAAGGTTATTCAGCAACAAAAATTCAGAGTACAGAGTGAAACAACTCATTAAAAAATTCCATACATGATCCCCTTCACAAAATGAATCTACAATCTTGCTTCTTGGGGCGTAGGGCAGAGAAGAAAAAAGCTCCTGATGAAGCTTGGATATTATCAACAATGTTGTTCTTTTTTCCCTCCATTTTCAAAATAACCCTTTACACAATCCATTTTTATAAGTTATGGGTTTTAAAAAATGATAAATGTGTGATATTCAAGTTCCCCTTTAAAATACCTCAGCCAGCTTACTACACAAATTTAAAATAAAATGACCACTTAAAGATTTACACTATACGAAAAATGTATATTTTCAAATTAAGAAGTTAACTATATACTAATAATATTATACAATTAATATAAAAGCTAAAAGTCTTTAAGAAGTTCAAAGTCTAAACAAGTTTTAGCAGGTAAATCAGTTGATTTCATGTTATGATTCTAATGATTAATTTTTCTAACCAGAAAACCACAAAACCTTACTTAGGAAAAGATTCTATTGTTGAACATGGAACCATACTTCATTTCCCTAAGTTCAGAAAATTTGAGATGTAGAAAATTTCAAAGAATTTTTCAAACTATTTGGTTTACTGATATAAGTATATGGAATTAAGGAGAGCTATAGTATATATCAAAGGTAACAGCTTATTTAATTTGTAATTTTTTTGATTCTTAAACTCATGAGGAATTACACTAAATTACCATATAATCTTGATTATATTGTTCTGCTTTAAATTAATTAAATCTAGGCTGGGAGAGTGACTCAGTGGTAGATTATGTGCTCAGCATGTAAGGCCCTGGGTTCAATTCTCAACACCAAAATATCATAAAATAAAATAGTTAAGATCACATCTCAAACCAAGTTGTCTGAACAGACAATATTGGCCCTGAATTAAAGAATTTTTAAAAAGCATTTTCTGGCTTTAGTCCCTCCTAGTCCATTACTAATGGGGAATACATATCACACATTTTATTCAACTGAATCTTAATCCTTAGCTCTGTGCACCCCTCCACTCTCCAGAGCCTGTAGGGCCCAGCATGTGGTAAGTGTAATACTTAATGAATATTCTTGAATGAGGAGCAATATACCAAGGATGGATTAAGAATTACAAAGAATCTGGAGATAGTGAATGCTTTTACAAAGCTCCCAAACAATATTTTCAGTTTCTAGTTTCCTTTTCAGGTTTACTTTGGTTTGCCCTTTTAAATAATAGGAAGAGAAAATATGGCACAAGAATATACGGTTAAATCTCATAGCTAAACTACAAGCAAGAACACATAAATTTTTTTTTTAAGTTTCCATTCATATACTGAAGAATGAATTTTATTTACACCACTGGTAAATTCCAACTGCTCCAATTAATCTGACATATAATTATTTTACTAATGACAGGAAAAAAATATCTTCCAGTATTTTCATTTTAACAATTATAATAAAACTGCTTAGTTATACTATAGAGTAATAGGCAATTAATGATTTTTTTGGGAAATAAAAAATATGTATATACATTACCCTGATGTCTAGGCCAAAATATATCTAACAACAAATTTTCTTGATTTTTATTACTCATAAAAATAAAGGAAAAATATATTGCAAGTATTTTCTTTCTAGACAATTTCAATTAGAAAATAATAGTTTAATGAAAACAATACAGTGGTTCATGTGACTGGACTGATGGAGGCAAGAGAAGTAATCAAAAGTTGATAGACAACATTCTGTCAAATACAGCTAAAGAATATGTGCCTAAATGACACTATTTATAGGCAACAGATTGATTTTTATACATCTCAATTTTATCTTATATTCAAGGAAAACACAGGTAAATAATGACCCTAAGTTGTAGTTAAGAACCCCTTCTTTTGGCTTGCAAAATGTAGCCTTTGGACTTAATAATTCCTCTACTTTTCACAATGACAGAGTATCGCAGCAGCCACAGTGGTACCCACTCATGTGCTTGAATGTCAGGGATGCTTTCCTGAAGAGCTTCTTGGAAACTTGCTTCAGAGAGCAGTTCTAAAACAACAAACAAAACCCCAAAAAGTTAAATTTGAAGTCAGAAAACACATAACTATGTAGGTAAGCATTTAAACACAACAAAAGAAACATCCAAACTTAATACAAAATTAACTTATTCTTTCATGTGTGCTATGAATCTGAACCAGAATATTAAAAATAGCCAGGCAGTTCTTTTAAAAGTACCCATCTCTGTATCATAATTTCCGATGTGTAGAGTCTGGATGTTTTGTTTTATTTTTTAATATTTCCGGGGAATTCTAATGTACAGAGAACATACAAAAAAGTGAAAAGAAAAAAAAAAAAGAGAAAGGTCACTCATAACCCTGCTAGCTGGAAATGATATACCATTTCTATTACCTTCAATTTCCTCACAACTTTTTTTCTGTGTACATATGTATTGGAAATTAAAAATGATTTACAGTGTAAGTGGAAAAATCATTTAAAAATCTTTGCCAAAGCTGGTCATGGTGGCACATGCTTGTAATCCCAGCAGCTCTGAAGGCTGAGGCAGGAGGATCACAAGTTCAAAGCCAGCCTCAGCAATGGTGTGGCACTAAGCAACTCAGTGAGACCCTGGCTCTAAATAAAATACAAAATAGGGCTGGGGATGTGGCCCAGTGGTTGAATACCTTGAGTTCAATCCTCGGTACCAAAAAAAAAAAAAAAAAAAAATCTTTGCCAATAGTCATTTAATTTGCATTTTATTAATAAACTTATTATTTTCTTTTTCTTCTGGTTCTGGGGAACTCAGGGGCACTCCACCACCGAGCCACATCCCCAGGCCTATTTTGTATTTTATTTAGAGACAGAGTGTCTCACTGAGTTGCTTAGCGCCTTACTCTTGCTGGCTTTGAAACTGTGATCCTCCTGCCTCAGCTTCTGGAATTACAGGCATGCGCCACCACATCTGGCTCTAGGAACTTATTATTTTCATTTCAAGCTTATATCTAAACCCTCTACTATCTCATCCCATTCCTCTCCTAACTACCTGTCTTCCAGCCACACTAATTTCCTTGCTGTATCCTGAAAGCCTCAAGCACATTCACAAACTCGGGTCTCTGAGTCAGCTATTCCTCTTTCCAGAACACTTCTTATCTTAATAGAGGCCTCCCTGACTGTCCCATGTAAAAAAACCACCTCAACTTAGACCCTCTTTTTCTTCTTCAGCCAACTTTTCTTTAGAGCATATACCCCTACTTATAATTTTAATACTTATTTTCTTGTCTGTATCCTTCCATTAGAATAAGAATTCCATGAAGACTAGAATTTGTCTTAGTATTACATACCTATAGTACCTAAAACAGTGCTGAGTACATAGTAGGTGCTCAAATGTCTGTTGAATACAGATGGAAAGATCACAGGGGTCAGAAGCAACCATATAGATAAAGATGAAGTGACTATCTACACTGTATGATTTGGGAGTGCTAACAGATCCAACTACCCCAAATGAACTGCTGTTGACACTTCATATATAGTAAACTCTATATATAATAGTAAACTCTAAGTAAATGTTAGTATAATAGTAAATTCTAAGTAAATGTTAGCTATTTTCATGTTGTGGGCACTTTTCTGAGTATCTTCCATGTTTGAGCTCATTTAATCCATATAACCCTATGTGTTAGATACTATTATCTCCCTTTTGGGGGGGAAACTGAAACAGTGAGAGGTCACAGTTAGTAAGTAGTTTCCATTAATAAAATATAAATGTCTCCTGGGAAAAGTAACAATAATATGGAATTATGTATCAGATGTCTAATAAGAGAAGGACCCTGAGGGAATGAGGCATAACACAGATTTAATGGCAATGGGTGAAGTGGTAAAGCAAATAAAAGGGGGAAAGTTCCAAAGTCAGGATCACCTGCTTCACAATTTTACCCTAACTGTGGTTAAACTATTACTATAACTTTTAGGGTACAGGGTAGTGAAAAATAAACCCATCCCGAGGAATAAGGGTAATTTTAGAACACAGGTAGACTTCAGGGAACTTAAAAAACAGAATTGTATTTCAGATGGCAAACAGAGTTCAGTGTTTTATGATTTGGTTACTTAGAAAATCTGACACAAAATTAGAGAACTCTGCTACTCACTAACTGAACTATATACTTTCAAAATTAATTCAACTACATTAACTCTTTACAAGTAGTAAACAGAACAAATCAAGTGAAGAACTGCTTCAATAAAGATCAGAAAGTCTAAAGATTCATTAATGGTATATGCAGGAACACCCTATAAATTTTAAGCAGATTTGGAATAAAAAAGATAACCATGTATCAAATTTTATCAGTAACACAAGAACATAAAAAAGATTAAATTAAATCTATCTCATGATGTATTTTGCCATACTAATGACAAATTAGCACACAACATTTAGTACATGAAGGGTGTATAGGTTAATCATCAGCTGTTGGCAACAACAACTATGATCAGTAACCCTTGAAAGCAAGGATCTAACAATGTATAGAAAGTTAAAGTTTAAATGGCTTATATTTCAGAATAAAGCAACACAACAATTCTTTGTTACTTTTCATCAAAGTGACTTTTTAAAAAAGATGTATTTGGGCTGTGGCTGTGGCTCATTGGTAGAGCGCTCACCTGGCACGTGGGAGGCACTAGGTTTGATCTTCAGCATCACATAAAAAAATAAAATAAAATAAAGGTATTGTAGGTGGCTACAACTAAAAAAATACATTAAAAAAAGAATGTATTTAACTTGTTTGTGAAAGTTTTATTGGAGTGAGCAGGCAAAGTCACTACAGTTACTCTGATATCATTTAAATGAAACAGATAACAAAGTAAAGTTTCAGACTGAAATACTACAATAATGATGTTTCAAATCAGAGATAGCAGTGTTTCAAAACAGGATAACAGACAAATTCTCCAATTTCATCTAGAACCTAGGTCCAGGTTCAAACTTCACCCTATGCCAGGTGAGTGACCTTGGCTACTTTCTTAAAACTTTGAGACTCTATGTCCTCATCAATAAAATGTCTTGTTTTAGCTATGGTGAAGATTATAGATAATCTTTCTGAGGCACTTAGTATGATGCCTGGCAATCAAGGAACAGTAACTATTAAAACTCTTTTGATGAAACAGTCAAAAAATAAGAATGGGGCAGAATGTCTTAATAGGCTATCCACAAACATTCTAAAAGTGAACAATCAACCTACAATATTATCTTTTTAGACGTGGAAGTAAAGTTAAATGTTTTTCTAAGGGATCATCTGTGAAATATAATTTCATCTAATACATAAATATATCTTTTTGTGGTGCTGGGGATTAACTCATGTATGCTAGACAAGTGCTATACTCCCAGTCCCTTCCTTCAATTTTTTTTGAACTAGAATCCCTGTAAAAATGTCACAGAGATTTACAACTTTCACAAATCATTAATTTGTAACCAAACATTTCTCACCTATACCAAAAATACTTGTTACAACTTCTATGTGAGATTTATCTTTGCAAGTTATGTTGAACATTCTCTTCCCAGTCTTTCTAGTTATCTTGTAAAATGTTGATAGAAAATTATTCTTTAGGGGATATCGGTCAATAGTAGAGTACTTGCCTAGCATAGGTAAGACCCTGGCTTCAATCCTCAGTACCATACATAAACATACACACAAAATTATTCTTTGGAAGGTAGACAGGTCATTCTAATTAAATAATGTTTCTGATTAACACCAAACATATATGTCTTGGCAGTGATGATTAATAAAATATCTGATCAATTACCTATTCCAAGATACTACATTTTAAATTAAATTGTATCTGCCTCTTTTTCTAGAGAATTATATTAATTAAATGGCTCTCTGGTCCAATCTTTGCTGTACTAGACAAGACTTATATACTTTACTATTTAGAATGCCTTAAAAGATCTTTTCTTTGTAGTTTAATATTTATAAACCTCAATAAATCAGATGTTCAGGAAATGATCCCTTCACTTTTTCCCCCATTGGTATAAAAAAAAATAAAAGCATGTATGTTTTGAACTAACCATTAAGACTAGTTCCAGATAATATTTATCTAGAACTTTTATCATTGTACACATTTAAAATTAAATATTAACAAAATGCCTTTTTTTTAAAGCAGTGCTAGGGCCTAGGCCTAACCCCATGGGCCTGACACATGCTAGGCAAGTACTCTATCACTAAGCTACACCTCCAGCCCAACAACAAAGCGCCTTTGTAAGACAAAAGATAATGATCAATCTCTATAGATCAAAATTGTCAGTCTTACCTTTTGGATCATTATGAGTCAATAACTGTATGTCAAACTGTTTAGCAAATGCAGTTAAATCAGGTGGCATCACGCAGCAAGAAGCAAGATTAACTTGGTTACTATTTGGCTTTACCTAAAAGTGAAAATAAAATCATATCTTTACTAAATAAAATAATACAGAAAGTAGAACACAATAAGCAATAAAGGGGGCTGGGGTTGTGGCTTATCGGTAGAGCGCTCGTCTAGCATATGCGAGGCCCTGGGTTCAATCCTTAGCACCACATAAAAATAAATCAATAAAATAAAGGTATTTAAAAAAAATAAGCAATAAAAGGGTTTAATTATAGAGTATAGGGAAAATCACATTTCACAGTGCTTAAAGTTTGTAAAATACTTTTACATGAATATCCTTATTCATATGTGCTTTTCCAAACCATGTCAGTGATAATAGGGAAAGGAAAAATAGCTCTAGGAGGAAAAAGCCAAAATAGAACTACACTATTAAAAAAATCTCTGCTAGAATCATTTAGTAATGTGATACATCTGCTTTGGAGACAAACATGATTTTAAGTTTGTCTCAACAACAGAAAAAATATGTCTTAAAGGTAGAGAATCAAATACAAGTAAATACATTTAATGTCAAAATATAAAATGTGGCTATTAATCAGCACATTTTGAAAGAGAAGAATTAGATAACTTCCAATAACTTCCCTGGTTAATTTCTATATAGATTCTGGATCATCCAAGACTCTCCAGAAGATTCTTGACCATGTCTAGCTACTAAATCTAAAGGAGAAGGTACAATAATTTATCCAGGGTTTTTCTGCCCACAAGAAACTGAAAGTTCTGAAAGAAGGCTGAATATTTGAATAGAGAATAAGAGAAATAGAGAAAATTATAAAAGAGTAAAAGGTTAAACAGTAACTTCCCTCACAATTTTGCAGGTAATTAGATGAAAGAGTAGGGATGATTAATTATTGACATATCAAGCTGTATAAACAGAGTCCTATACATCTTTAAGTAATAGTCAGCAAAATATTTGTTACATATAATATTCCCTTACTTAGGAAATTAGAGCCACAATCTCTCATTATATCTAAAGAAAAATGTAACATTTTCATCACATATGTAAAACTGAAAGAAACAGCATAATCAGCTTGCAATTAAAGCTTCAACACATATTTTCTAGTGTTTCTATCACTCGTTTTAAAAAGAATATTTAGTTCAAGTTGACATATATTCTAAAAACCCCAAACCCTCAAGGCTTTAGATAAAGCCTGCCTCAAAGCTCCCATACTTGGAGTAGGTACCATTTAGTAAGTGTGCATTATGTGCCTTGTGCTTAAAAGTAAGCAGCAAAGGCTAGAAACAGTAGATTCCTCCCCAGAGTGCACAGGATTTGGCCATCCTTTACCTGTGCCCACTGATAGAGCTGCTCCAACTGTGTTTTATCTAGATCCGAGGTACCTATAGCAACAATCTTCTTGCTTTGAACTAAGTTTTCTAATTCCTCCCAATAAGGCTGTAAATGCTCCAAGGAAAGATTAACTCCATCTTCAATAGGAGGTGACGCAATGATCACAGAATCCAGTTGTGCAACTCCAAGGACTGAACAGGCTGATGGGAAGAAAAACACAAAAAGGATCAATGTCTGCTACATAATAAAAACAAGAATTATTAATGTGCTCAAAATATCCCACTGAATTCTATTCATATCATTCACTAATTTTCCATATAACAGATTACTTCAGTTTACCTGTCATTTAGAATATTTCCATCTTCTGTATGCCATCTCTTTGTGGCATACCAGTGGGTTTCTCTGACCTGCTTTCTTTCTAGGGAGCTCAAAGCTACTATAGGCTCCTCTTTCTGGAGAACAGGCTTCCCTTTTGTTTTTCAGGCCCCAAGACTTTTTGGCGGTTTCCTTATCTTATCTTCATACAATTTTCTTCTCTAATTCTACCTGTTTACTAGTATCTCATATGGATGGTCATAAGAATTATGACCTTATTCTGTGACTAGTAGTCATAGCAAGAATCAGCCTGAAACTGAAAACTAAGACTACCTTTACAAAGGTAGATAATTTCTTAATTTACATAAAAAGAACTTAAGAGCTTATTTTAAATGACTATATTCACTCTACACTTATATGAAAAGGCCAATTATTTAACTTTGCAACATATATAAATGCTGAAAGAATGCTTTTAAAGTATTTAATAACTGTAATACTATAATCATTTAACCAAGTGCCAAAAATAGACATAAGATACTTGTTTTTAGTTGTTGTCTTTGATTTTAATATTTATAGTATAAAAGAGCTAATAACATGATTAAGGAGAATGTCTATACCTAAGCAACATTTATTAGTCAACATTTAATAATCAATAGTCAATAATTAGCTAATTAAGTCAGAATTAGCTATATCTTTTACAGTTTTCTTCTATATCAAAACATGAATATATATAAGTCAATATAATTCTATAGAGGCCTTAAGAAATTATCACTTTAAAAGGTAAAATTACAATTTGCACATGTCCTTTCTTCAGTCTAGATTTGAATCCAAGTTATAACTAATAAAACTAAAGTAATTTAAAGTTCACTATTAAGAAAGTTAAATTTTTGCTTACCCATGTCAATTGCATTCCTAGTTGATGATGAAGAATTTGATCCTACAATGAACAGTTTTGCTGAGTAAAAAAAACCAACAAACTGATTATTATATTTAGGTGTACGTCTTACTATGTAGTATTAACATGACAGATAATCCTTAATAATTTTTCGTTTCCTAGTCACATAATTTTATAGTTTTTAAGACATAAAAGTTTATATCCACTGTAACTTTTTAATTATATACTTAGTTGTGAAAAACTTATTAAAATTAAAAGCAATTATTAGAAGGCAGGTCAGACACAGGAGCTTATATTACTTAAAATATATATTTTTATGAATTAAAAATACAGCATATTACATCCAATAAACTATAATCTATAAAAAGACTAAATTAAAGCTGTTAAAATGACAAAATTGAAGGGAAAAATTCACAATTCTACCTTATCAATAGAATCCTTTTCATTTTCAGATACTACCAGCAGCTTTGGTCATATGAAGATATATTTTTTTCTACTTCTGTTGGTTTACCTTTAGGTAATATTTTGAATAAATTTCTATGCATATTTAGTTATTTAAAAATTTTTATAATAGTAATATGCTTACTCTAGAAATGAAAACAATCTATAAAACTAGAAAGACCAAAGATAGCCAAGAATCTCATTACTCAAAGCAATTACTATTTATATTTTTGTGTACTCTGTGTTTAATGTACAATTTTAGATACTCGATTTTTATACATGAACATTATCTATAATTCTGATAGGGTATAGTTCATTAAATGAGTTCCTGCTTATTGAACATTTAGGTGAGTAATATTCCTGCAGTAGTTCCAGCTTTCTGTTATCACATAAAATACTAAAACAACCATCTTTGAACTCTTTGTTCAACTTTAATTTTTTTAAAATATTTTTAAAAAGTATTATTTTGGTTGTGAAGGGACTCAATATCCCTATTTATTTATTTTTATGTGGTGCTGAGGATCAAACCCAGTGTTTCACATGTGAGAGGCAAGCGCTCTATCACTGAGCTTCAGCCCCAGCCTCTTCGTTCCACTTTATACTGAATCATTTCCCAAGAATGAATTGTTAGAAATGTGATTCAGTCAAAAGATCTGATGTTTCCTGTTGAGTCTTATTCTATTTTACTTACTTTCTACTATAGAAAAGATGTGGCCCAGTTTACCAGAACACCAACACTGAAGAGTTTCTCTCCTAATAATATAGGATTCTCAACATGCAAAGTCTATGCAAATATTCCAAAATCTGAAAAACTGAAATCTGACACACTTTTGGTCTCAAGCATTTTGGATACTAGATCCGATAATTACACTCTATGAAAATCCTCTCCATCACTCTCCCTTGATTCATGAAATGGCCTCCTGTTTTTGAAAGATGAGGCATTTTTAGAGAGGTAGAAAGAAGAAAGTTCCTCATATGGGGAGGATTTTGATATCTATCAAATATTTCATGCCCTATAGGAACTGAGGACAACCTGTAAAAAATCCAAAATAAATCTACATCATGAATTATAATTAACGACACAAAGTATGATGTTTTTACTTCTATTCCTACACAAATAGCAATGTTAAATTAACAGAAAGAAATGGATTTTGGAGTTGGGCATACCTGAATGAACTCCTGGTTTAACCATTTACTCTATAACAACTTTCTTTTCTTTACATTCTTTTTTAAAAAGTAGGATCTTGATATGTTGCCCAGGCTGGTCTCAAACTCTTGGGTTCAAATAATCTTCCTGTCTCAGCCTTCCAAGTAGCTGGGACTGTAGGTGCAACCCTCTATATCCAGTTGTATAATAACTTTCAAGTTATTCAATTTATTGACTATCTAGTACAATGAGAATAATAGATCTAACTTGTAGGTTTGATTTGATAATTATATAAGAAAATACAGCACTTAAGTGACAATTACAGTGCCTGGTATAAATCAAGACTCAATAAATAGTAGTCAGTATTATTAGAATCAAAAGACAATGCTCTATCTCATCATACGTGTGGATCTTAATAATAATAATACTTAGCAATGACCACAATAACATGGTAATTAAAAACAGATATATAGCATGCATTTTGTAGCAAGCACTATGCTATGTACTTTCTTAGTTATTTCATCCAATGTATACAGAAGCCTGTGAAATAACTGCATCGTTATTTTATGGATGAGGAAACTGAAGCTCAGATTAAATACTTTGTTAGACCACGATTATACTGGACAGTAATCTACAAACCCAAGAATCTCAATCTGGACTAGCTCGCTCAAGCTTTTTTTTTTTTTTTAGAGAGAGAGAGAGTATTTTTTAATATTTATTTTTTAGTTTTTGGTGGACACAACATCTTTGTTTGTATGTGGTGCTGAGGATCGAACCTGGGCCGCACGCATTCCAGGCGAGCGTGCTACCGCTTGAGCCACATCCCCAGCCCCAAGCTCAAGCTTTTAATGACTATAAGCTAAGGACAGAACAGTACATTTAAATTTCTGGGATGTATTAGTCACTACAAATGTTGAATGGATATGTATTTTCTTGTTGCCCAGACTTCTTTATACACTTTCTGGTGAAGTCAGTCATTATTTACTATCGTCCCCCAGGAAGGGAGGGTTTATGCTTTGGGTAGACACTGCTCCTAAGCCTTCCCTTTATCCTTTCCATTTCTTCCACCCTAATCTTTTTACTGATCTGAACACAGGTAAATTACATAAGAACATCATGAAGAACAGGAAGTCAAACTTATACTCTTGACTCCACTGAAGTAACCAGCACTGACTTCCTATAACTCCTTCTTAAGAGTTGACATTAAAGCTGGGAATAATCCCAGCAGCTGGGGAATAAAAAAGGGCTGGGGATGTGACTCAGTGGTTAACGCCCCTGGGTTAAATTCCTGGTACACCACCCCACCACCACCCCTGCCAAAAAAAAAAAAAAAGTTGACATTAACATTATGTTTAAAAAGGAATTTTTATATTTTCCACACTTAGTGATGAAAGTGCTCATGACCCACAGTAAAGGAAGGCTTATTCCCATACCTAACAAAAGCTTACTATCCCTTCCTTCCATTATATAATAAATTGAATTGTAAAGTTGTAAAGAACTTTACCAGAAACTTTCATTTCTTCTCTTTCATCAGGATTTATCTTTTCTACTGCATGAGATACAGTACACTCCAAGACATCTGGAAACTCCTAAAATGAACACAATATTTATAATGAATATAAAATTAGTGTTTCTGATTAATCATAAATTTTCCTATTGTTCATTAAACCCTTTAGAAGATAACCAGTAAGACAACAGGATTTTATTGGTGCGTTAAAATTACACATAATAGTGGGATTCATTTGTTACATACACACCTAATATAACAAGAACTTCCCATTTCTCTCCCCTATTTCCTCTCCCTAGTCTTCTTTCTCTACTCTGCTGGTTTCCCTTCTATTATCATGAGATTTCCCCAACTTTTCCCCTCCCTTTTCTCTTGAGTTACATGTGAGGGAAAATGTATAACCCTGCACTTTCTGAATTTGGCTTACTTCGTTTAATATGATGCTCTCAAGTTCCATCCATTTTCCTGTAAAAGACAAAATTTCATTCTTGTTTATGGCTGACTAAAACTACTTTTTGGGGGGTGGGGTATTGGGTATTGAACTCAGGGGCACTCCACCATTGAGTCACATCCCCAGCCCTATTTTGTATTTTATTTAGAGACAGGGTTTCACTGAGTTGCTTAACACATTGCTTTTGCTGAGGCTGGCTTTGAACTCGCAATCTTCCTGCCTCAGTTTCCCGAGCAGCATGGATTACAGGCATGTGCCACTGCACCCAGCTTACGTTTTTATATGTACATTTTCTTTATCCATTCATCCACTGACAGTTACCTTAGGTAATTGGTTCCATAATTTGGCTACTGTGAACTGGGCTGCTATAAACATGGTTATGCTATAACAGTACAGTATAGTGACTTTAATTCTTTAGGATAAACATTGAGAAATGGAATAGCCCTCTCAAGCATTTGTTATTACTGATATTTTTGATGGCTGCTATTCTAACTGGAGTAAGATAAAAATCTCAGTGTAGTTTTGATTTGCATTTCCCTAATTGCTAAGAATGTTGAACACTTTCTTAAACTGGTTGGCCATTTTTATTTTTCCTTTGAGAAGGGCCTGTTTATTTCATTTGCCTATTTATTGGTTGAATCTATGTGTATCTATGTTAAGTTTTTTTGAGTTCTTTATATCTTCTGGATATTAATCCTTTGTCAAAAGAGAAACTAGCAAAAATTTTCTCACATTTTATACATTCTCTCTTCATATTCTTGGTGCCTTTCCTGTGCAGAAGAGCTTTTTAATGTGATGTCATCAATTTATTAATTCTTGTTATTATTCCTTGAGCTTTAGGAGTCCCATTGAGGAAGTCACTGCTTATACTTTTATGTTGCAATGTTGATCCTACATTTTCTTACAGCAGTTGCAAAGTTTCTGGTCTAATTCATAGGCTTTTGATCCATTTTATATGGACTTTTGTGCAGGGTTGAGAGGGATCTAGTTTCATCAACGATTTTCCCAGCACCATTTGTTAAAAAGGCTGTTTTTTTCTCCAACGTACGGTTTTTAGTGCCTTTCTCAAGGATCAGTACCTTTGTGGGTTTGTCTCTGTGTCTTCTATTCCTTTCCACTGGCTTAGGTGTCTGTGTGTCAGTACAATGCAGTTTTTGTTACCAACCTTTGTAGTATAATTTGAAGTCAAGTATTGTGATGCCTCCGACATTTTTTTTTTTTTTTTTTTGGCTCAGAATGGCTTAAGACAATAGGATTGTTTACTTGAGGTCTACATGGGCTTCTCAAAGGTTGTAGAGCCTGGACATAAAGATAAAATGCTATGTGTATGTGTGTATGTTTTCTGGAGAAAAGTATCTCATTTTCATTCAGTATTTAGAAGAATGCATGACCAAAACTTCTTTCTAAAAAAATAATCAAGCAGGAGAGGAGTACATGAGGAGTTAACAACCACTAGATATAATACATAAATTTTACTTAAAAAGAAACCAATGAGCTGGGCATGGTGGAGCACGCCTGTAATCTCAGAGGCATGGGAGGCTCAGGCAGGAGGACTGCAAGTTCAAAGCCAGCTTCAGCAAAAAAGCAAGGTGCCTCTGAGCTACCTGGCAAGACCATGTCTCTAAATAAAATACAAAAAAAAAAAAAAATTGGGTTGGGGATGTGGCTCAGTGATCAAGTGGCCCTGAGTTTAATCCCCAGTAGCTAAAAAAAGAAAAAAGAAACAAATGAAAAATCAACAATTCTTCTGAATATTATGTTAAAAACATTAAAAACTTTACATGTTTTTAACAAAATGTTAAAAACTTTCTACAATCACAAACTTTAAAAAAACTTTTCTTAAAAAATTTTAATGTCATTCAAGTTAAACCTGTGAGGAATGTAGGTGATTTTTGAAAGTATTTTTTAGAGTAGTTTTAGATTCACAGAAATACTGAGCAGAAGATACAAAGATTTCTCATTTACCTCCTGCATCCACACATGTATTGCCTTCCCCATTATCAACATCCCCATCAGATGGTACATTTATTACACTTGATAAGCTTACACTGACACATCAAACGGGTTCACTCTTAGTATTAAGCATTCCATGGATTTGGGCAAATGTACAACAACAATGTATCCACCATTATGAGATTACTGCCATAAAAACCCTTTGTACTAAAGAAAAAAAATCTTCTGTGCTCCACTTATTCATCCCTCCCTTCCTTGTGAGCCCAGCAACCACTGATCTTCATACTATCTCCATGGTTTTGCTTTTTCTAGAACATTAAATAGGCGAGATTACACAGTATGTGGCCTTTTCACATTTGACTTTTTTTCACTTGGTTAATATGCATTTAAGATTCTTCCATGTCTTTTTGTGGCTTGACAGCAAAGAAACAATATTCTATTGTCTGGATATACCAAACTTTATGTACATCTACTGAAGGATGTTTGGTTGCTTCTAAATTTAGCAATTATGAATAAAGCTGCCATACATATATCTGTATGCAGAAATTTTCATGGACAAAAACTTTCAACTCCTTATGACAGACACCAAAGAGCAAAACTGCTGTATCACATGACAATAGTATGTTTAGTCTTGTAATCACAAACATTTTTTAAATAATTTTTTCCTTGACTGCAATTTTTTTTTTAAAAAGCATGGCCCATTCTAATGCATTAAAACGAATAATTTGTAAGGATAATGATAAAAATGTTAGTACATATCAGTAAGAAACATTCATTTACCAAACAAGATTTAACAAAACAGTGAGGCCTTTCCCATGATTGAAAAACACATTACAAAACCTAGTACATACCAAGAGTCCAGTTACAAGCCATGCATACATACGGTAAATGGTCATTTCAGAGAAGCAGAAATCAAAGACATTAATCAATATCTGCATAGTAGCTATAGGGTTATAAATCTGCACTATGCACAAGGGAACAAGTGTTTCCAGCACATGTCCTCTTTCACACTTTTAAAATGGTCTGGATTTAGGATGGTTACAGACAGGTACTTTTTTTTTTTTTAATATTTATTTTTTTTTTAGTTTTCGGCGGACACAACATCTTTGTTTGTATGTGGTGCTGAGGATCGAACCCGGGCCGCACGCATGCCAGGCGAGCGCACTACCGCTTGAGCCACATCCCCAGCCCCACAGACAGGTACTTTTTACATTAACATTTACAATAATAATCACATACTGACATTTAATGAAATATTGTTCCTTATTGTTTCACGATAGAAATTATTTCTAGGGACTATATCATTGAAGTGGATATCAGATATTCTAAGTAATCTACCAATCAAAGCTGCCTGATAATCATTCATCTACTAGACCAATATCAATAGGAACAAAGCACTGCTGGTGAGGAAACTAGTGGGAATTAAGCATGAGAATCCCATCATCTTGTCTAGGTTGAAGAGTTGCCTACAGAGTTCAGATTTTCTGCTTATGCTTAATTCAACTGAATCAGATTGCCATCTCAGCAACTCAGCCACAAAGGGTTTGATGGCTCATTGACTTTTTGACTTCTCTCCCCAAACTTAGGAAGTTAACTTCCTGCTTACTTCATTCACTTCCCTTTTGACCTGCAGGATTTCTGCAGTCACTTTCCACTTACCCTGACCAAATCTGGGCTGATTTGGGAACTCCACTCATTCAAGGTCTTTTGGATACAATCTCGAAGCTGCAAAAGGAATGCATTTTTAAACTGTTAATCAATCTCTATTCACTCCCCTTACATCTATAAACAAGAATGCATAGTTTGGTAAATTAAGCAGGGGAAAAAAAAAAGACATCAATAGGATTTATCATACAAACCCTTAATTCTATAGGTTTTTGTTTCCTTCAACAGATAAATTCAGACCTGTTTTTATTCTACTCTTAATTCTCAAACATTCTTAACCCAAAGCATTAGTCTAATTATTTTTACACTGTTTATGTACCAATAAAACTTTAAACTTACACACATTCATAAAGAAACAAAAAATGATTTCAAGAATAAGGTTATAAATAGAGGAACTTGGATTTAAGCCAGAGACACTAAAATTCTTATTAACCATTATGCTACATTCCTTGAAGACAAGCAACAGAATAAGTGTGGCCAGAGGAACTCCTACATCAGAATCCCTGTGGTGTTTATTAAAGACTCAAACTCTCGCTCAATCCTAGACCTGATGAACACTCTCCAAGTACAGCCAGGATTTCCATTTTAACAGGCATTCCAACTAATTACTATGTACCCTGAAGTCTGAGAATCAGAGGACAGCTGTACCTTAAAAAAGTCAACGTGCATAATAATGATAGTCCATGAGTCATTTCCTAACACCTCAGTACACATCTAACTTGTTTTCAATGTTTTTTTTTTGGATAAACATTATTTATCCAATATGCTATCCACAAGAGCATGCTGTAAATTCATTAAGGAGTTTATTCCATTTATGTCTCTTATGTCAATGTGTTTCAAACTTACTTGACAGTAGCCCAAAGTAAGGTGTATATTCACTTAATGAGTGAAAGAAGACTTAGCTTCATATGAAGGAACAAAAAATTCACAAAACAATATTTATGGTCACTACATGCCAGTACTCTAGCGGCTTTTAGTCTTTTAATCAGAAAAAAATATGATGTTCTATGACTCACTAAACTAACACCAGCAGTTTGAAATCACCATCTTAAAAGATAACAAAGGTTACAGTACTTTACCTTCTTTAGGCAATCAACAAAAAAAGAAATGAGCAATGAGAGCAAGTCCCTGAACTGCAAAAGCACTTTCTGAACAGGGACAATAGAGAGTAAACTTCTAAACAATAATTGCTTATGATGAAAACTGACACAAGCACTTTACCACTTCTTAATATTAATAATCACAAGGGAAAACTGGTTATTAATTTAAGGGTATACAACCACTTATGTTAGGATTTACAACCCACAACAATAATTTATATGCTATCCATAATAACTTACTTAAATTTAAGTTACCAGGTCTATATCTTTAGGCAAAATTTATTTCTAACAAAATTGAGATCAGTAGATAAAAATTAGTATAATCTTTCCAGATAAATCAGTAACTGATGAGGAAGCAGGACTGATAAAGTCAACAATTTTATCAGGACTGCTTTGGTTCAAATTGTGGGAGAAGTCTAAGAAATTTTTCTTTGGAAGAATGATTCATTTACATACAAGACTTTCCTGATTAATTCTTCAATTCAGAAAGATAAGTATATTTTCAGAGTATTTACCCCTTTTCTGAAACCATCTCTTTAATTAATCTTGGTTTCTGCAAAGTTCAGGATAAACTGTAGCAAAGTCTAAAGTTATATAAGGAATTCATTGACTATATCACAAACTGAATGATTTTTAATCTTGTAAGTTACATGCTATCTATAGTGACTGAATATTAACCTTATACCTTTTTGTTTACTGCTTTCTTCATCATCACATATACAGTATCACTAAAGATAAATATGATCACAATGTAGTCTATATTAGATCTGGAATGGCTTAAGAATTTTAAAAATACCACAATTAAATTGATCAAATACTCAACAACAAAAAAAAGACAACACAATCTTATAAAGATTTATTTAAAAACAATATTTGAACCTAGTTTCAATATTCAGCACTGTCATAAATAAATAATTTTTAAATATTTGATTTCATAAAACACTAGTGAAACACAAAAATATGTGAAAAGATCAAAGAATCAAAAAAGCATTAGAACTTGAAAAGATCTTTTAAGAATTGAACACTCAACCAGCCCGGTGGTACATGCCTGTAATCCCAGAGGCTAGGGAGACTAAGACAGGAGGATCAAAGCCAACCTCTGCAAAAGTGAGGCACTAAGCAACTCAGTGAGACCCTGTCTCTAAATAAAATACAACAAAAATAGGGATGGGGATGTGGCTCAGTGGTTGAATGCTCCTGAGTTCAATCCCTGGTATTCCCCCCACCCCCCCAAAAAAGAACTGAACACTACCAGATGTATAAATTTTCAATAATGATTTTTTTTTTCACTTTCTTTAATCTCTTCAATGAGGTTGAGCTGTTTCAAGTGGTACATCCCAATTTGGAGCTCTCTATGTAAAATTCTTTACATAGAAATAAAACATGCCTATCCTATTCTAATTAAACTGTTATAGTTTCCCTACAATATGCTGCTATTTCTTCAAGTTTTCCTCAAATATCCTAGGGTCTTTAGTTTTGTCCTACTCTGACAAGGCACCCTAAACAAAAAACTACAGACCAGAATTAATCTTCTGAACAATGTTTTTCAGAAAACGGCGTGCATCAGCGCACACTGTCCCAGTGTAATTCAGTGGTGGAGCCCTTGCATAGCATGTGTGAGACCCTGAGTTCCATTCCCAGCATTGTGTTAAAAAAAAATTAAAAACAGGATAGAAAAAAATTGAGATGGCTCAGTATACAAAGGTTAACAACTTTTTGTGAGATCTCTGTTTCAGATATATTGATACACACATATAAATATAAAATTATGAATGCATGGGTAAAATACATTTCTTACTATTTGGAGTAAACAACTTTGAAAGCCACTACTCTACGATGTGTTACAATGAGAGAAGAGAGAAAATCTCACCCAATATTGTCAAAATACATGCAGAACTTTCAACTACATTGGTCATCAGTGCTGAAAGAAATTAAGGCTTTATGTACCAAATATAGAAATACTTATCTTTCAGAGAAAGAGTCAAAGTGGGTGGTTTAAACAAAGCTGGAACCCAAACACAGAATAGGGTAGGAATTCTGGTGCATATTAAAGTGACAACCAAGAGTTCTCACCTCCTGAAGGGTGCTGGTTCCCCACACACACCAACTGCTACTTCCCGTATGGTCTGTGGACAACAGCTCTCATATAAACATAGCTAAAACTGACTCTGAACAGCTGATAACGTCATAACCTGACAGTTTAGGCTACCGGTTCTTTTAATCAAGATTCTCGTTCTGATGGAACCAGGTTATTTGGAGCATTTTCATATATAATCTCTTAATTCTCACAACAACCTCATGAGGAAGGTAGCACCCAACTTCAAAACTACTTTCTAAAAGTCACACAGCTCCTAAAGTAATTGTTTATTATTTTTACGTTTAACCAACACATCATAATCGCACATATCCATTGGGAATTTTTCAAGTACTAAAATTATTCCGTGCCTCCAATTACCTGTGCAGTGAATGGATGACTACTCACTGGCTCAGGAACAATCAGCAACAAGTAACAAGTGCATACTTCCAGATTAACATCTGCCACCTCCAACTAACTGGTGTTCAGTCTTCGGGAAAATAAAATGCGGCCGATAAACTTCCAGTAAGAAAAAAAGACATATCTACGCCCAAACCAAATTTGAGGGTTTCGTCATTTGCTTCACAGCAATAATATCAACATGATCAAAGTTAAGCGCATTGTGAATACTATCATTTACCAAAGGTTAATCTTTGGAATATTCCTTTCGAAAGGAAAGGATGGGGAAGGGAGCAAGAGATGGAGAGAGGCACCCAGCCACGTTCTGGCGCTCCCCGACTCCCCTGCCAGGGAGAGGGATCCAGTGCGTCTCAGAGTTCTGCTATCCGCCGTGACAGAGGCTGCACTCTGTGCAGTTGCACCTGCTGAGTTTTTAGGACGCTCGGTCCCAGGCGGCAGGTCCGGATGCGAGGTTGCACAGACCCCGGCCGCAGTCTGCCGCCCCGCCCCACCCGCCCCTCAGCGCCCAGGCGCGCCCTCCCGCACCTGCCCTGGCCCGCGGCCTGCCCCAGAACCTGGGTCTGCGCGGACGCTGCTCGCCGGCCCTCACCTCCTCGCTGTGCGTGGAAGGGCACTTCTTCCGCAGGCGGCCCCAGTTCAGCAGGTTCCCGGTCTGCAGGTGCAGAGTGCGGGCCCGCGCCAGGAGCGCCCCGGCCGCGCGGCTGTCGGTGCCCATGGAAGCGGCTGCCCGAGGAGCCAGGAGGTGACGGGGCGGGCGGGAAGGCGGCTATCTCGTAGGACGCGGTTCCCGAGGCCGCAGGGACGAGCGCGAGGCTTTTGACCCGCGTGGCGGGAGCCCGATGTGCGCTCCGGCTGGAGGAGGCCGGACGGCGGCGGAGCGGCGGCCCGGGAGGGAGGCGCTGAGGCTGCGGCTCCGGCTGCTGCGTCTCTGGCGTCTGCCGCCGCCGGCGGAGAGTTGACTCTAAACTGTGGAAGCTGTTTCCTGGAAGACAATGACTAAGCAGAAATCGTGGCGGAGAAAAGTGCTTCGTAACCGTTACTCGTCCCACGGCGGAGAGGGGCGGGGCGCGAACGGCTGCGGGACTCTGACCCCCGGGTGACTGGCCCCAGGCCTGCGGCGGGCGTGGCGGCGGGGCGGGCGGGCGCGCGGGCCCAGCTGCTGGCGGCACAGCGCGCGGCAGGGCTCCCTCTGGCGGCTTGAGGACTGTGCTCCCGACGTAGCCCGCGCCCTCTGCGGTCTACCGCTCGCCGGCGCGCTCCTCCACCAATGGAAGCCGCGCTGTTCGGTTCCTCACACGCCCCTTTAAAAGGACAGACAGATGAAGGGACCGTCCGCCCAGGCTTTGAAACAGCAGCTGGTTTTGGCTTTGGCGGGCAGGTTTTAATGCACAAGTGCCCTTTCTCTACTTTACCATCTTTAAGAACCTTCCCCCCAAATGCCAATTTTTCTTCATTACTTAAACGTCTGTTAACTTACCCTGGTATGGTGTGAAGTCAAAGAATAAGACTTACTCTTTGCCCTTGCAAAGCTTAAGTTGCCGAGATGAGGCCTAAGCATATTGTTACCAATATGTCCCCAATGCTGAAGTAACACCAGAGAAGCACGCTGAGGCAAGTTTGAGTGGAAAGTTGAAGCTTTATTAAAGGACAGCAGAAAAGACTTCTCCCTGGAGGAAGAAGGGGACCCAAGAGGTGGAATCCATGGAAGGGGGCGGTCTTCCCTCTTTTATAGCTAAGGTCTACATTCAGCTTTCCCGCATTCCTGTCGCATTCCTGTCCTTTGTTCTGTTATCTTGAAGTGAGGGATGTAGGCGGGAAGGCCCAAAGGGTGGGGGACAGGTGGGCTGAAGGAGTAATCTGGGCAGGAAGGGCTTTTGGATTCGCATTTCCTGGTTTGCTGGAAGCTGCTTCATTAACATTTCCTTGGGATGGGCTCCATCATCTTCTTACTCAATATCAGACCTGATTTACCTACTTAACCTATCTTTAAATCTGGCTTCAATATGATACATTAAGTAGTATTATAAGAAGATCATAGGACAGTTAGTTTCTAGATGTGTTCACATTAAACGCAAATGGCTGAGTTGAGAGAAGGCTTTATCACTCATCCTGGTAGAGATGGTTGGGATGTGATTCTTTACTCCCGTTTTCATGTGATAAACTTGATATAACATCCGTTTCAAAATTTATTTAGCTTTCCTCAAGAAATCTTCAGTTGTTGGGGGAATCGGATATATTAAATGGCAAAATGAGATTGTCATGAGAACAAAATCTACTGAAAAGAGATGACCTCGACTTGGTAATTAGATAAGACTTAGGGCAGAGATGAAGAAGATGATATTCTAGAAGGTTAGCAATTTGAGCCTGATGTTGAGCAAATATTTGTTGGCCATATCAACAGAGGTAAGAGTTCATTGATGAGAAGGGTAATGCTAGAAGCAAGAACAAATATGGGCTTCTTTAGTGAATATAAGCATTTGATTCTTAGGCTGAATTTGCTGTGCTATCACATCTTGACTTTTTTAGTCTAGTACTTGGCTCATAACAAACATTCAGTAAGTGAGAACTCCTAATACTAATACCTCTATGTTTTCCCCTTACAGGTCAGTTCTCACAAGGTTGGTAAATTCATAACATGATTTCACAGCAAGCATCATATGAACTTTCTTGTGGTTCACAGCAATTCATTTAAGTAACTTGTTGAAAATCTCAGCTAACAGTAGATATAGGTCCTTCAACTTTAAACTCTTTACCCTTCCATATTACAAGTAATTTAAATTCTTGAATGTGTTTGTGCATGATTTATATGCTTTGAATGCCTGAACAGCTTTAATTTACCCATATTATACTTAATGATAGCCTTGCCATAACACCACGATTTTGGGGTGAGGAAGATTAGTTTATTCTGAGGATAAAATCAGGGAATAGAAATCAGAGGAACATCATTATATAGTTATTTTGAATGAGTCCTTTTTCTCCTGTCTAGGAAACAGGAGTAATGTTTAAAACACTTCCATCTTTGGGAATCATATAAATTTTGTGTTTAGGTATGTAAGGAAAAGAAGTAATGAAGGAAATAAAGAGAGAAGAGGCGGCTCAACAGTACCACAGGTTTATTGGGGACAAGTAATGGAGGGGCACCCAGTGGAGACTGAGACCCATCTTCTGCTTACAGCCTGAGGTAGTTATAGGGGCTTGAATGGAGTAGGGAGATTTTTGAGGTTAGGCCACTGCTAGCAGATTGTCAGGGAAGGTCCTTGTGGTTATCGCCTCTATTCTTTGAGGTGATCACTGTTCCATGTTGAACCAGGTGTTTTCAGTATTTCAGTCCCAGATAACAATTTCCTTTCTTTGCATAATGATGGAGTATTGTCAGGGCTCACATTAGGCTGAAACAGTGACCACGAGGTGACTCTTATTCTAAGATGGAGGTTATGTTTCAAAACGGCATTGCCTGTGTCAAGTCCTTCCTAATAAGATGCTTTAATTTTTTTTTTTTTTGCAAATGCTATGTAATCATTGACCACTTTTTTTTTTTTAATTCTCCTTGACACATTATCTGCTACTACTCTTTATTCTCTCCTTTGAAAGAATTCTTGCTTTTCCTGGAATACACTCTACCAGCGTCCCAAAGTATTTGATCATAGAACACTTCTGAAATCCTGGTGTACTGTTAGAAGCCCAACAGGTTGTCAGGGAAGGGTCCTTGTTCTTTCATCTTTCTCTTAATAGTATTTCTCCTATGGTGCCTCTAGAAATTTGTATCTCCTATGCTTTTAGTTGTGAATAAATGTCTTCCTTAAAGATTCACCTAATACTAGATGATGAAAGAAATTACCATCAAATGCATTTGAAATTTGCTAATACTTGCTAATTCTGTACAGTTATGTTTAATATCTGACTAGTGTTAAATCAACTTTGGGATTTCTTTAAATTGTCTAATGTTGGTTTGAGGCAGAGAAATTTAAAACCAAGTCTAATCTGTCAGTACACAATAGAATGTGGAGAATTGGGTTCCATTTGACTGTCCCCAAATATGGTTTCATCTCAACATGCACACAGACTGAAGACAGAAAACATATTTGCCATTAAATGAAGAATTACCATCCTTCTTTTAGAGAAAACCTGAGGCTGCTGGGAAATCATGAGCCCAGAGTCCTAATAAGGCTGAAATAGTGAACGATAGAAGGACCTCTGGTAAGCCACGAACTTTCCTCGGTGTTGAAGTCTCACTTGTGGAGTGAAGGAACTAGAATGGGTGGTACTATCTCCCTATGGCTGGCTCATCTGCCAAAAAGAAGGACGTTTCTGAATAATTGGCAACTGAGAAAATGAAGTTGTTGAAGGTTTTATTATCATAAGAGTTGAAATTCAAAAATAAAATATAGTATAATATTTAGAGATACTATTTGTTTCTATTAGACGATATTGAGTTGAGATAGTCATATTTGCCTATTAATACTATTTCTGATGTTGAATCATCAAATGCAATTTGTTTAGTAGGAATTGAAGACTGGTAGCTGCCTATGCACCTGTGGGTTATCTTGGTTTTGAGGCAGGGGGATTATAAATCTACTTTTTAAGCTGATCTTTCAGGGGTTTCCTATGCTCACTATACTTTGAGAACCATTTTTTTGTTTGTTTGTTTGTTTTCTTTTTTGGTATCGGTGATTGAACTCAGGGGCACTTAACCACTGAGCCACATTCCAAGCCCTATTTTGTATTTTATTTAGAGACAGGGTCTCACTGAGTTGCTTAGCACCTCACTTTTGCTGAGACTGGCTTTGAATTCTTGATCCCCCTGCCTCAGCCTCCCAAGCTGCAGGGATTACAGGCATGCACCACCACATCCGTTTTGAGAATCATTGATTTTATATGTATATTTTCTCTGACATCTGACCTCAAAGACTCGATTTGTTAAGGGCCCCAATTATCCTGCCCAACATTTCTTCCTTAAAAAAAAAAAATACACACACACACACATAGCACACCTGTAATCCCAGCTCCTCAGGAGGCTGAGGAGGGAGAATCGAGTTCAAGGCAGGCAGCCTGGGCAATTTAGTGAGACCCCATTTAAAAAAAAAAAAAAACTAAGCCAGGCCTGGTGGCAAGTGCCAGTAGTCCCAGTTTCTTGGGAGCCTGAGGATGGAAGATTGTTTGAACCCACAAGTTTAAGACCAGCCTGGGTAATAATATGGTGAGACCCTGACTCAAACCAAAACAACCCCCAAAACATTTTTTATTATAAATATGTAATTTTATTGCAGCACTTGTGGAATATGCAGAAACATAGAAAGAAGAAAAATCATCTCTACTACTCAGAGATAACTACTTTATCAAAATACATATTGTGGGATTGGGGTTGTCGTTCAGTGCTTGCCTGACAAATGTGAGGCACTGGGTTCGATCCTCAAAACCACATAAAATATAAAGTAAGGGCTGGGGATATAGCTCAGTTGGTAGAGTGCTTGCCTTGAATGCTGGGTTCAATCCCCAGCACTAAAAAAAAAAAGTATGCGTATACTTATAATAATATATATAATATTATTTAATATATATAATAAGATAAAAAAGTAAACAGATTAAATTCACCTTTAAAAAGTATATATTGTTACATGACTATTACTCATAGTGTCATAATAATTGCATATCTTCTTAACATCATAGCAGACATTTCCTCATATTATTAAAAACCTTTTAAGCATTAATAACATTTTTTTGAGACAGGAACTCATTCAATTGCCCAGACTGACCCTGGACTTTTGATCCTCCTGCCTCAGTCTTCCAAGCGGTGTGTGCCACCACACCAGGCTTTGTATTATAAACATTTTTAAACCAGCATTTTTCTTATGGCTATTCATCATAGAAAAATTAAATATACACAGAAACAGAAAGAAAATAAAATCCATAATCCACCATCCAAAATAAGATGTATATCTTTGTCTAAACTTTCTTTCTTTCTTTCTTTCCTTCCTTCCTTCCTTCTTTCTTTCCTTCCTTCCTTCTTTCTTTCCTTCCTTCTTTCCTTCCTTCCTTCCTTCCTTCCTTCCTTCCTTCCTTCCTTCCTTCCTTCCTTTCTTCCTTCCTTCCTTCCTTTCTTTCTTAAAATAAGGCCTGGCATGTGCTAGCAAGCACTCTGTTACTGAGCTAGCCCTCTAATCCCTGTTGTTGTTTAATCTATATTCTATCTATAATTGTCTTTATTTCCTTTAGTTATTTTATTTATTTATTTATATATAACAGCGGAATATATTACAACTCTTATTACACATATAGAGCACAATTTTTCATATCTCGGTTGTATATACAGTATATTCACACAGTTCGTGTCTTCATACATGTACTTTGGATAATAATGATTATCATATTCCACCATCATTAATTACTCCATGCCCCCTCCCTTCCTTCAGTTCTTATTAGATTAA